TTTATTGAATCTCCCAATCAGGGTTTCTCAGACCCAACGTAAATATGTTATTAATAAATTAATAAGATAAATAAGAAATAATGGATATGATATCTAAACGTTATTTTAAAAAGAAACATCAATGACAATAGGTAACTCTCCTAACCAATGGCATATGTTTCGATTAGAAATTGAATGTATTCAAGCTATCTCCAGCAGTAATCTGGCACGTGGCAATGTTTTTCGAAGTTTAATACGTCATTTGCACAATTACATTATTTTACTACTAAGACCAGAATCCTTCAGGGTTTTGCTTTCTTGTGCAAATTAGGGCTTTTGTTATTTAAACCTCACTGGGATGACCAAATTTAAATATGAAAGGAAAAACGAAAAGAATTCTGGTTGTAGTAGATGACGCCAATGGCGTCATCTACTACAACCAGAATTCTTTTCGTTTGTCAATTATTGACACACAAGGATTTAATGGCTTGAGTACCGGAGACGACAGGCAGTCACGCTTGATGAAATTTATGCAAGCTTCCTACCTTCTCTGGGAAAGGGCAGTGATGCCAGATTCTTGAATGCAGAGATAACCAAATACTAGAAATACGTGAATCGCAGAACCTCGCGCAGCAGAGGCTGAATGCCAGAAGAAGGAAGAACGGTAGCCAATGAGAAAAAGAAAATATATGAAAATAAATGAGCTGACAAAACAAAACAACAGAAACAACCAAAGAAGGAAAGGAAGAAAAATAGATAATAATAAAAAGAAAACGATTAACATGTTCCAGAGTCGAACCCAACATATCCTGCAAGGAGGGTCATTTCATCACCACTTCGTTACGAGAGGATATTCATCCAATTTGTAAATTTTCTTGTGGCACTTCTGCCGGCGAGCGCCGTTAAAAGCTGATATGATCGAGTATTGTTTAACACGAATTCAAAGAAATATTTCAGGAAAATAACGGGCCTTTTGACGGTAAAAAAACGTGCTTAAACCCATTTTATCACATTCAAAGAACATATGCCCAACAAAGCCAATACAACTCGACTGCGAAGTAGGACTCGAAGCACATGTTTTCTTACCTCGATGTGCACTCTTATTTTGAAACTAGTGGTCCAAATCGCTTCCATTTTTTTCTTAGAGGTACCTCTACATTCAAAATTTATCGCTAAAAGCATTTCTTGACCTCTAAAACGACCGCCAAAACAACTGGGTCAGGTTTGTGGCAGTTTTGTTTGCCAGCTGTTTTTTTTTTGCTAGGCAACTGCGGATACTAAACCAATAGAAATATACAATGTATATGAAAGCAAGATCACACTCCGCTAAGCGATCCTCGTGGAAGAGTCACGTGCGATGCGAATCCGACAAAATTGTAAACCTCGCTTAGCAAGGAATTACCCTTGGTGCTCCGCTAAGAATATTTCAATCGTATCAGCTGGGCTAAGGTCCGTGCGGACTATGCAGTTAGGACTTAAGCGAGTCCCTTTCTTCCCGGCCTTTTTTTTTTTTAAACAATTTCTCCTGCAGGTAGTTGGCCCATAACTGGGGGCGGGGGCTTCGATTCTAAGCGGCAGTTTACGGTATTCTAATTTTCGTGTTCGACTTGTGATTGTGCCTTGTTAAGAACCACCCCCCAAAATTTCATCGTAATACTAAGTACATCTTTCTTCTGAAAGATGTAGATGAAAAGCGTTGGATAACAACCTTTTTGTGCCCTGTCTAGTAAACAAAATTTAAAGTGTCTAAAACCGAAAAATTTTTATTACGTTTACTCAAAGAACACGTTACTACGTTACGATAACTTATTCGAAAAAAATTGCGTTTTGAACAAAATGAGATTTGTTTGGAAGGCAAACGCCAGGTGCACGTCTGGAATTCCCATCCCCTCCTCTATGGAGTCTCCCTTTCCCCACCCTGACATTCTGTACAGACGGACAAAAGTCGTAAGCTGATGTCATAACCAAATCTTCTCGTATCCATAGGTTTCCGGTTTCTAATGCTAGTTTGCACGTCATACTATGGCGGCAATGTTAGTGGACAACAACAAAAGAATTTTTCTCCGCTGGGAAGTGAACTCCATTATTCCAAACAAAAATATTGTATTGATCACCAACGTACATGGCCGCCTTATCAGGTGGTTGCAAACCAAGAATGGAAAATTATAGGGGCTATGCTTCGAGCGCAAAGAAAAACAAACCATTTTTTAATCAAAAATAAAACACTAACAGCGGTGATAAAAACTGTGAACTTTCGCATTTTTATGTAAACTTGACCATTTGTACATGCTAGTCAACATACATTTTCAAACGTGATACAGATTATGACGAGACTATTCATACACAATTTACTAGGGGTCCAGAAATGAGATTAGGAATTCAAAATTCTTAACCATAAAAGCAATAGCTGATAAAGCATCAGCTTTTCACTGCTGATGTTGACATTACAAGCTGGCTTAAGATCTTCTACAGTATATACAATGTTTCTTTTATCTTGCAGTTTCTTTTTGATTAAGCTAGGATGGCCCAAAACCATTTTTTTGCCTCCAAAAGACCTGTCGTGGAACTACAATTCCTCATTCATGCAATTAACCAAATACTCTCAAGCTTATCAAGACTTATCCTCTGGCAATATACCACAATACTTTCTCAAAACATAGTCACCATATCTTATTGGGAAGTCCAATGGCAACTTTGCCACGGTCTTCTCCACTGGAATTAGAGTCTTGTCCAGAGGAATTGGTGAAATCACACAGTCAAAGCCTGGGTCATAAAACATGGCAACTGAAAGCCGGTGCTCAGTTGGTGAAACTTTAGCTCTATGTGGCCCTGCCCTGAGTGCACCACTAGTCCAGATTTCCATCATGTCACCCAAGTTGACCACAAATGAGCCAGGAACTGGGGGTACTTCAATCCACACTCCATCTTTGGTCTCTACCTGGAGTCCACCTACATCATCCTGGAGAAGGATGGTTAAAGTGCCATAGTCAGTGTGTCTTCCTACTCCCCATATCTCATGGCCATCTTTTGAAGCAGGGTGGGGTGGGTAGTGGAACATTGCCAGTTGAGCAAAGGGGTCATCAGTGAATTCTTTTGTAAAGAAATCTCTTTCAAGACCTAAAATTAAATGGGATGATAAAGGTCGGTGTTCAAAATTTTGAATACAAAAGAATGTGCTTTCTTGTGTCTACACTTCATTGAAACCTTTAACCAGGGCTCGGACGTACGAGCAGATTCATGAGGTAGATGGAACCCCTCCCCAGAGTTTTCGATAAGTTGCAGTATTTTGAAACAATTTTACCTTTAGTGGAAAGCCTTTGATCCTCTTAACATGATGAGGTATATTTTATGGATGGTGGCACTGCCCGAGGCCTGTGATGTAACCAACAATGGTCGCTACCTTGGTCCCCATCTTGGATTTTACCAAGAATTGGAAATCAGGTTAAAAGCGTGAGAAATGGTAATTTTTTGTGCTTTACATGAAAAATAACACGTAAATAAACACTTCGCATGTTTTTAACCACAAGATTTTCTTTTATTGTTGAAAGAAGTTGAAAAAACATGTAATTTCACCCAAAATTGGCTCGACCACCTGCTACTTGTGGTGTCATATCTCGTAACCATAGCAACTGACCATCACTAAACTCGTTCCAAAATCTGCGCGAGGGATGAATGAACAGCTACTGAAAACGTCAGGTGCTGATGTTTTATCCTCTAGGAAAAAACTCAGAAAAACCTTATGGGGGGTGGCATCCACCCCCCCGAACGTCTGAGGGTTACTAAGGGTATAGTTTCTGCTAAATACACGCCTGATTTTCATTAGATGTGACTAGAAAAGTTTTGGACTTACTGAGGTTGCTAGACTGGGAGCAGTATATTTACAGCTAGTGAGTTGTGGTGAGAGACTGAATAAGCCACTTGAGAAGGAAAAGTGAACTTCATTTTCAGTCAATTGAATTAACCTTTTAAGTCCTGAGAGTAATCAACATCAATTTTATCTTAACAATATCCATAAATAATCAAGAGAAATGACAATAACAAATAATAAAATGATAGCCTGCAGGAAAATATTGAACTGCGTTGCTATAAATGTATCATGCTTGTTAGTTTCCTAGTGTTCATAGAAGACCATAGAAAGTAACTCTCTATCTCGGCATTGCCTAGTCCCTAGCCCTCATTATTCCACGCGGCCAAAGCGTTTCGGGTCAAGTGGTCCATGCGTTCGCCTTGGATACGTCACCGAAACGAATTCACCGAGAGGAACTGGGTAAACGCCGTACAGGGACTGGGCAAACCTCGGCATACAGCTAAAGGCAGATCATGAACTGTTCAATGGTGTCAGTGGAAACATGGTTTTAATGCAGGGCAGGGTATGGGGAGGGGGGTGGGGGTGGAGGTTAATCACGTTCATTGACTCAACAACCTGGTTTTAGTTTAAGTCTGGAGTGAATGTTATCCTGTTTTTAGCAGTTAACAAGAGCCACTGGTGGTTATTACCATTTTTAATTATGGTAATAGAACTGACTGGAGTCCAGTATGGTCCACAATCATACAATTGATTAAAGTCCAATTTGTTTAATCATGAGTATGATTACAGACTGAATTGGAAGACATGAACTTCAGTTACCAATTAATCATAACTATAACAAAATTTGTGATATTTTAGGCTTTTTTAAAAATTAAATTACAAAAAAATTCCGAGAATTTTTGCTTGCAATGAAAAAAAAAGAAAGGCCATTCAAGTTTGTGCCCGATGGCACATACTGTCCAATTACTTAGGCATCATGCGTACTGTCCTACTACACTGTCCTATTAGTGCTGAAATCAGGACACTTGATAGCCAATCAGATTTGAGAATTTTGTTATAGTTATTATTATGATGATGATGACAATGATTGTTACCATTATTAGAGTTGTTTACCTAAACTCAATGCAATGCAGCTCAACAGTTTTGAAGCTAATTCTTGTGTTTTCCTGAAGTATTCCTCTATAACTGCACGAAACTCGGGAACATATTCAGCTTTAGGCCATGGATTTAAGCCACAGAAAACCTTTTCCTTTCTTTCTTTGGGTACATTGTTAAAATCCCGAAAATAATAAATTCCCTCTTTCCACTCCGTGCAATTGTATTCTATGCTTCGCTCCTCCTCTTTCCTAAAATATCCGCGAAAACCGTCATTTCGATGAACTTCATTCTTTTTCTCAGCTGAAAGGTTGAAAAACTTCCACAAATTTCCCAAAACGATTGCTTGAAGATCTCGTGATATGCCGTGATTAACGACGTAGAAGAATCCGAAATCCAGGCAAGCTTTCCTTATAGCTGTCGTTTCTTCAGATGTTGGAATACTGTTTAAAAGATTAGATAAATCGATGATGGGAATTGCCATCCCGAACAAAAAAGCAACAATTAAAAAACGTTGTTCTTGAGTGGAAACTGGGTTCAAATAAGAGCTCTTCCCAGTTCCTTCTCGTCCAACAGCTGCCGCCTGATCGTTTGTTGAACGTTCACTGAGATCAGAAAAATGGCAGAAAGAACACATAATCGAGCCAACCCGATGGTTAAAGCCACCTATATCAGCAAGTTTTTCACTTATTGGTAAGTTTTGATAAATATTCCGTAGTATATTTATGATCTTTAATACTATAGCGGCTGTTAACCCTGGCTGTGTTGTTTACAAATGTCCCGTAGCAATTTATTAATAATCGAATTAATTAATGGCTTCCAAATGAGCAACAACCGGCTACCGAAAAACCGAACGAAGTCAATGCTAGCCACTTATACCCTATGTTTCCGATCAGAATTTCCTCCGTATATTTGATAATAGATTCTGCTCGTGAATTTTCATCGACTCGGCGCGTGCAGAACGGGTGACATCGTATTATGCAATCACGTTCAAGGCCCTTAGGCTGTGAAATCCAGGGTGTCCAGTATTCCATGAAAAAGCTAACTAAAAGATTTTCTGGTCGCCCAGGAGCAAAAGTCAAGTGCCAGGGGCCACCATGCGCTGCTCAGTGTTCATTCTAGAAATTGTGCAAAGTGGGACAGGTGTCCCATTTGCTTTTATAAAAAAGTGGGACATCGGATTATTGGGAGGGGACATTTTGTAAAATTCACGGACGACTCGGAATCAACTTTAACACTATTTTTATTGCAGGCTTTCTTCATATCAAAGCTTAGCTATCTATTATTTTCATTGACATAGCAGCAACTTAGCTATCATAGAACTCGTCTAAGGAAAGCATTCTGAACATCTATAAATTATCTGAGTGAGATGGTAGGAAAACATCGTGTCATTCACTTAAAAGGATTCTCCGTTTTGCTTTGTTGTTTCACACTCTCAATGCTCTGTCAAAGTCAAATTTCCCTCGGTCATGGAATTCTTTTTGTTGTGCTTTAAGCAGGTTCTGCAGAACATTTCCCCCCCTGGTTATATTGAAGCCAGGTATGTTTTGTTTGCTAATCAGCAAGTGTTTCAGCTTGAGGTTTGGCTCTTGCCTTCTTTGATCTTGGTTTACCTGATTCGCTTTGTTCTTGCTGTTCTTTCTTTAACTCTTTATTGCTGTCTGTGGCTTCGGGAATATTTGCTGGCTCATCAGCTGGTCCATCATCGACATCGTTCAAAGAAGCTGTTGCATTGTTAATCATGAAGTGCAACCTGCTTTGTTTCAATTTTGTCGCCATGTTGAAAGCATGCCGATTGACTCGTATCACGAGGTAATACGTCTAGATCCCAGGCTCCTTGCGATAAGATTTTCTTTTTGATTTTTGTTATTTTACAAAATCGTTCCTTCGCAAAAAAGCATTAAACTGATGCACGAAAACAATTTATTTGTGTCAGTAGGTTGTAAAAATGCCCAAATGGCACAAAAATGCACTCTAGAATGAACACTGGCTGTTAGAGTACAGGCTTGAAGGTATTTCCTTTCAGTAGTAACAGGACATTGCCCACAGATGCAAAAGTTAGAAATATCACAATAGTATCTGCTGCATTAGCAGTGTCCCTGGCACCTTACTTAGTTTCTTTGCGTTTATTTTCATTAAACTCTTCCCAACTGTAAACTTCTGATTGTAAACTCTGGGCTTATACAACTCAGGGGCGGATCCAGGATTTTTTTTAGAAGGGGGTGCACTCGTCTCTTGCTCTACTTCAACACCAATAAACCACGTAGTTTTTTTTTTTGCAGAATACCAGTTGTAGATCTGCCCCATCCGCCCCTGCAACTTTGTAAGGGGGGGTGGGGGGGTTGGGGGACTTGGGGGCTTATGACTGGACTAAAAATGTTGCAAAACAAGGTACATAGCATTCCTGATCAAAATACGTTTTGAATTTGATTGCTTTTCTAAGCTTCAAAACATCATAAAAAGTCAAATTCATTTCAGTACAAGCTAGAGGGGGGCTTGTAACTGGATTACAAGTAGATGGGCCTACATACATACATACATGTTTTATTTATTTAAAATCTTATGCAATAAATACTATATCAACTATTTCCAAATAACTAAAATTGCAAACAACAAATATGGGCCTATGAATAAGAGGGGGGGGGGGGGGAGGGGGGTAGAAAAAACTTTCTTTGATAAAATTCTAAGAATAAGTGAAAAGAAGAGGTTTTGCATACATGTACATGTAGTTTGTCTCTTGCTAGGGAATTTGTTCTTATGGAGTATTATTTGTCCATTAATGGTTCATTACTCTCTATTACTAGGTGGATGAATGATTTGTTTAAGAAAGGATATAAGCAAAACCTTGAGAATTCTGACATTTACCAAATTTTACCTGAAGAAGAGAGTGAACATTTGGCTGACAGACTGGAAAGGTAAGTTTCAGTTTGAAGTTCAAGAAAGTGATGGCCATGCTTTTTTCAATTTTGCACTAAAAAGGGGCTATTAAATTAAAGAGAGGGGACTTATTCAGGGGCAGGGTGGTTTGTTTGAGTGGTGAACTATGGTGGAGTATGGATAATTGTTTCAATTTTATTTTTGAAACTGCTATTGAAACCAGTTGAGCAAGGCATGGGTAATTGGTAAACTTAACATGCTATTAAAAAAGTCTAGAATTGTTCTGAGAGAAAAAAAACAGCAGAATGTTTTGTCAAAGTGTCTGGTCATTGTGCTTGACCTAGCCTGAGTAGCTAGGCATTGAGAGTAGAAAAATGTATGTGGCACACTCATTGAAGTCTCTTTCTTGTCTGTGCCATACTTTGTCATATGGCAGGCCTGCTTTCCGGCCAGGCTAATTTGACAGCTCAGACTAATATATAACTGGTCAAAATGTCATACAATGTACTGTAAAGACCTGCTAATAAGAACCTACATTTTTGGAAGTCTGGTAAAATAGGTTCTTGTATTTTGGGGTACTTATTGGAAATTTAGGGTAAGTAGGTTCTTAATTGTTATGAAGGAGATGATAGATTGTTGATTACCAGAAAAAATAAATAAACTTTTTATTTATTTACAATTGTATAATTATAACCCTAAGAAAACTGATTACCAAATATATATACAGTTTAGTTCAGTATGTTCTTGTTATACTTGAAGTTACTAAAACTACTCAAAGGTACACTCCTTTGTTAATTAAAATTCTTTATCGTAATTTAAGTGTAACGCTCATATAAGAACCTGCCTGATCTTGTTTGGCTAAACAGGTTCTTGTATTTTTGGGTACACGTATTAAAGGGGCAAATTTCTGCCAGGAGGTTCTTAATCTGCAGTTTCTTATTAGCAGGTGTTTACTGTATTTTACTGGACAACTGTCCGATGGCCGGCAGTCATTTTCAGCCTTGGTATATCCAAGTATTTATATATTTTACCTAAGATCTGGAGTTGAAGAAATGTTTTTTTTTGTAGTTTATGGAATGAAGAGTTAAAAGAAGCCAGGAGAAAAAACAGAAGACCAAAGCTAAGAAATGCATTCCTTAAATTCTTAGGATGGCAGTATTTTATATTGACAGCTTTTCCTTTTATAGAGGTAACCTACTAGTTGATAGTCGTATGATAAGGGAAGGGGGAGTGCGTTGAAATTTACGGGGAAAGTTTGGAGATGGCCTAATATTATGCCTCTACGGTTTAAATAGGCTATACACACCTTATTCTAAAATGGCAGTACAACTTTTCTTTTACATTTTATGTTTATCAGCCCTCTTTGCCTTGATCACACCTGCAGAATTTAAATAAAAGTTTTCTTAGCAATGAGGCATCGATTGGGGGCCAATAAGAAGACTAAATTTAAGGACAAAAAATAAATAAATAAATAAATAAATAAATGAATAAATAAATAAATAAATATAACTGTAAAACCAAAGGGAAATAAAAAATAAGCTAAGAGGCAAAACTTGACACTAATTTGGAAAGAGGTGTATTATTTGGCAAATTATTTTATTTCCCTCGAAAAATTCTGCCCTCCACAAAATAATAAAAAAAAAAACTTGAAAAAAAAAAACACAGAAAGAACAAGCGAGCAAAACAAAGTAATAGCAAAAACACTGTCATTAAATTCCCCACAATGCTGGAAATTTTATGGCCTCAGCCCAGCCATGATTTTTTCAAGACAGACAGCCTTACATGTAAAGTTGCATTTCAGTGTTGTTATTTTGTGCACTGAATTTTAGCTTTGTAAATTTGTTAATAGGCTTTACCTTGATTAATATAAGAAACGGAAACTCGCTTGTTGTAATTTCAACGCTTTCATCCTCGAAACCGGTACGAATCGTCATAATTTAACTATCAAATTCTCGCATACATCAACCAAAGCCTAACTCGAAGACATGCCGAACAAGCCCATGTAAAACCAGTCACGTGCAATATATATTTATCGCGCCATAAAAGGAATAACAAAATGTTCACGATCAAAACGTCAATCAAACGATTCTCACAATTAAGGTTCATGTGCAAGTGTCCACAGTTAAAATCGTGCAAAGATGATAAAAAAATTGGAGCTTACAAATACAGCTGTTGGTTAAAAAGTTCGCAAATTCCTTTTTCTCTTGTAGGAATCAATGAAAGTCGTTGCCCCTTTGATTATCGGCAGATTGCTCAGTTACTTCACTCCTGTTCCTGGTATTAGCAAAACGGAGGCCTACATAATGGCTCTACTTCTGTCAATCACTGATCTTACTCAAGCGGCGATTCATGCACCCAATTTTTTCAAGAATCAGAGACATGGCTTACATCTACGAATTGCTGCAGGAACAGTTGTATATAGGAAGGTTGGTACTTAATTGATGTATGCTAGTATTGAATTCTTTGTACGTATCGTTCCGCGCTCCAAAGGTGTTTTTGTACATGGTCCTTGCATACAGTATAATCTTTATGTCGTATTTATTCTCTTACCCTAATATTTTGTATAGTGTACTGTACTAAGGAAAAATTTGTTGAAAGTAAAGGCATTTTTTTTGGTGGGGGGGAATGGTGGTCATTTCCGCCTTCTTCATGACTGTTGTTGATTAGGTGGCGATATTTTTGCTGGTTGTTCAAAAAGTATTAGAACTCAATGTAGATATTGACTGACTTCTTTCACTTTATTTCCTTTTTTATTTTTAAATAATGACTGAGGGTTAGACCGATAGTAGTTTTTAACACTTTGTTTTCCCTTATACCTTCAGGTGCTACGACTAAGTCAGTCCGCCTTATCACAAACAACAACTGGTCAAATAGTGAACCTTATGACTAGTGATGTACAAAAGCTGGAACAGGTTTGTACTAAAAATAGTGTGCTTGCTTGTAACTGCAGTTTAAACTCTTGAATCAGCTTTCCATGAGTGATATCCACATGCCCCAATATCGTCCCAAAAAACGCGGCTTTATCTATACGGATACATTATTGCTGTTTTGCCTTGCCTCTTCGTAAGAAGGGTCAGAAACAGTTTGTCGAAAATAGAGTTTCATGAGAATGAAGGCTTTTTAAAGCGATCTCAAAGGTGAAATCTTTTGAAAACGTAGGTCTACCGTCTTGCTTGTACATGGCCAAAAACGAAGGTTTAATGCTGTTTTCTTAGCTACACATGCACGACTCTGCTTCGCTCACAACTAGGGCGGATAAAGGTCCTATTTTCTTTCTGTAATTTCAGCCTACACTGTGAAATGAGTAAATTCATGTCATAACAATATTGATAAACAGTTTCATTTGTTTTAGTCTGTATGCGTATAAGCGGAAGAACGCTTCTGGTCTAAGTCAAACTTGTTGGTCGTATAATGCCCATGTTTGAGTTAAATGTGAAAGTGTTGAATGCCTCCTCCTGCCGCTAAATATGACATAATCGTCTTTCGCCGTTTCGTTTGCAAAACCTCAAAAATAATCAACCGTAATTCTGACATATGATAAAGGGAATAAATTGTACATAACATAACCAAAAAAACTAACTGGATATATTTGGATAAAGTGGTGTTGTACTACTTCTAACTTTGTCTCTCGGGTGCAGTCGCGCCATGGCGATTCACGCAATGCTTCGCAAATCTGGCAACGGCATGTAAACAAAATTTATTGATAGTTAGTTGAAAGGTTTTTTCTCCGTTTGTACGCGGGATGACGTAGTCATCAATTCGTTAGCGCATTCCTTTCGTTTTTTTCTCGGGAGTTTTTTAACTTTCCCGTATTCCTTGCCCGTCCCGAAAAATTGTGTAATTTTTATTGGCTGCAACTTCGAATCACGTGCAAGCTAGGTTGGATTGCACAAGCACAAAATAGATACTGCGTCAGCAAAGGAGGAAAAAGTAAGCTTAGTGCGTAGCGGGGGACAAAGTCAGGGCTGTGCTTTAACTTAAGGCGCCGAGTCACCTGAGGCGATTAAGACCTGGCCTCGGGCTACTGAAAATATTGTCCATTGTCCAGGTCACCTAGCCGGGCGACTTTCATCTTACTTACTGTACCCTCTGTCCCTTGTGTCCCCTCTGTCACCTTGTGTACCCTGTGTCACCTTGTGTCCCCTTGTGTGCTCTGTGTCCCTTTGTGTCCCTTGTGTCCCCTTGTGTCCCCTGTGTACCCTGTCTCCTTGTGTCCCCTGTGTCCCCTCGTGTCCCCCTGTGTCTCGTGTCCCCTTGTGTCCCTTGTGTCCCCTGTGTCCCCTTGTGTCCCCTGTGCCACCTTGTGTCCCCTGTCTCCCTTGTGTCCTCTTGTGTCCCCAGTGTTTCCTTGTGTCCTGTGTCCCCTTGTGTTGCCTTGTGTCCCCCTGTGTTCTCTTGTGTCCCTTTGTGTGACTTGTGTCCCCTTGTGTCCCCTGTGTCCCTTATGTCTCCTGTGTGCCCTTGTGTCACCTGTGTCCCCTGTCTCCCCTTGTGTCCTCTGCGTTTCCTTGTGTCCTCTGTGTCCCCTTGTGTTGCCTTGTGTCCCTGTGTTCCCTTGTGTCCCCTGGTGTTCCCTTGCATCCCCTTGTGTCCCCTGTGTCCCCTCGCGTTCCCTGTGTCCTCTTGTGTCCCTTGTGTCCCCTGTTTCCCTTGTGTCCTTTGTTTCCCTTGTGTCCCTTGTGTCCCCTGGTGTTCCGTTGTGTCCCCTATGTTCCCTGTGTCCCCTGTGTTGCCTTGTTTCCCGTGTGTCCTCTTGTGTCCTCTCGTGTTCTGTTGTGTCCCCTCATGTCCCCTGTGTCCCCTTGTGTCTCCTGTGTCCTCTGTGTCTCTTTGTGTCTCCTGTGTCCCTTTGTGTCCCCTGTGTCCCCTGTGTTCCCTTGTGTCTCCTGTGTCCCTTTGTGTCTCTTGTTTTTCACTGTGTCCCCTGTGTTCCCTTGTGTCCCCTGTGTCCCCTTGTGTTCCCTGTGTCCTCTTGTGTCTCCTTCTGTCCCCTGTGTTCCCTTGTGTCTTCTTGTGTCCCCTTGTGTCCCTTGTGTTCCTTGTGTCCCCTTGGTCCCTTGTGTCCCCTGAGTCTCTTGTTTCCCTTGTGTCCCCTGTGTCCTCTTTTCTGTTTGAAGAAAAAACAAATATATGGCGGCGTTGCCCTTGTTTCTTTTATGGCGCGAAAACTTTGATGGGTTTCATTGCTTTCATATGACAAAATGCGGTTTTTTTTGCACGCTCAGGAGGTCAAAGGATGTGATTTTTCATGAAAATCAAAACACAATGTTCTGCTTGACTTATTTAGAAAATAATTTGTGAAATTTTTAGTAATGGACTAACAGGTCACTGATTTATTAAGTTGGGCGACCAACTTGGAGGCTTGGGCACCTCAGCTAAAATATTTAGCAGCCCGAAGGGTTAATCGAAAATTTTATTTGGGCGACCATCTTTTAGGCCTGGGCAGCCCAGCTAAAATGGTTGGGAGCCCAAATCCCAGAAAACTTTCCTTAAAGCACAACCTCGCGCCCTGTAGTTATTGGATTTCTGATACGTTGCGTGCTATTGTTGAATGTGGAAGTGCATTTATTGAGGATATTAGTAAAGGAATGCAAATGTTAGCGAACTACTCCGTACTCTTAACATATATGGTGGTAGTATTGATGTAAGTTTTGTTTTGCGGAGCAAAGGAACCCTTGTGTGTAACTAAACTAATCTTCTGGTGTATTTAACAGAACATGTCCGTCTCTCCTGCACACATTTGTTTTCGATACACTGCTCAACTTTCCAATACCATTCAACATAATTCTTACTTACACCGACGCATTCCGCGTAAACGCCTTCGGGCGTCTTCTGGTTCTCACAAAGACACAGCGAAGTAAACAGTAAAAGTAAGGGGCAACTAATTTTAAAGTTCCGAAGAAACAGAAAGACATATAGGATGTTTTGTGAAAATAGCAAATAAGCGTGATGGTGTCTCAGATTAAGTATAATTAACCTTGCACGAGTTGCACGCATTTATAAAGTACCGTACACGTTATCTAGTTAATAAAACGCCATATGCTGTCTTTTAGTTTTACCATTGACTAGGTTTTGCTTCGTGTATTAGACAGTTTTTAGTTGTTGTTGTTTTTTTGAAGAATGTCGACAGTGGCGAGTAGTAGAACGAAAATGTAATTGGTAGTCATGTAAGTAACCAGAGAAACCATTTAAAGAGATCTTTGTCTACTTCAATTAACTAAACCTCCCGCAAAAAATAGCAACATTTGCCCCTCCGAGACAATGTACTTTTAGTTTGAGTGGTATGAAGCTCAATCCCAAAAAGGCTTGAAAACTCTTCGTTCTCCCTATTTTTCTTCGATTATTGAAGAGTTGGAAAACTCATATCTCATTTCCCTGTTATTCCCAACTTGGCGTCACTTTGATCTGTAGCTCATAATTTGATCCCAGTCCACTGCATCACACCTTTTTTGCTCGAAAGCGCTTGTTTCATCGCCCAACCTTTATCCGCCCTGGGGCCTGACTCTTGAAAGGCCAGGAATCTTTTCGGGCAGGAAGGCAAATTTTAATATCAAATCCTGTTGAATTGTAGCACAGTTCCTAGCTCACAGACCAGTCCAGTCAATTTTGCTTCATTAACTGATAGTTTCATTGTATAATTTTCAGAATTATTAAAACTTTGATCTTGAATGCAAACACGCGTACGGCAAACATAAATCAGCTTTCCGGGCCCGAAATGTTACCGTGACTTTCGAGAAACGGGCCCCTGGTCACAACATAGCAACAGTGCAGGAAATTAAAAAGTAACTTGTCTGAGAGGAGCCTGGGAGCGAAAGCGTATCATTAGAGGTGTATGCGTTTTCAATGGCTAACGTTGGTGGTTTACCATTTACAAAACGTTTTGGGAAATTTTCGGTTAGAGAGTAAATAAACACTTAATTCTGGGTCGTTCCAGTGACAAATTTCTGGGAGTAGCGGAGTAACGTCTGGAAAGGTAGTCTTGTTTTCCCGGTGCGAATGCTTCAAGTGGAAATTCGTATTCCATGAGTTCAGAACCACTTTTAATAGCAGTTTCAGGCTTTTGCGGCTATCTCTGCGGTAAGTGGGATTGATTTGTACAAGAGGTAAAGCTGATTCTTTGTTTATTATTTGTCCAGATCGTGAACAGATCGGTTTGCCCATTTAAATGGTAAAGAAACAAATTGTGGACACAGAGGTCTTAATCGTTTTTCAATTTGGTGACACGAAAATCGAGGTTTTCGACAACACCTTTGTGTGGACATGTCCTCAATCAATTGCTTAATGACCCTTCCGACCGATAATGTTCACACCTACCTCGTAGGTCCTTCCTAAGAATACTCATATTATATTTTCTCTTGTTCTAATTTTTTAAGACAACAGTGTTTGCACATTACATCTGGATAGCTCCTTTGGCAGTATGCGTTGTAGCATTCTTTTGCTGGCAAGAGGTTGGGCTTGCTGTTCTGCCTGGTGTTTTTCTATTCCTTTGTCTTGTACCGTTCCAGTGGTGGATTGGAAGATTCTTTGTCCGTTTGAGGTACTGTTTGACCAGTGCTACCACATGAAACTATAATATTACAGTAAACAATCTACAAGGAAAGTCCCGCAAGGGTGTTTGCGATAGTTTAAAAGTGTTTTCGATGTTGTGGTGATGATCAAATTTCAGTGTGGTATTGCAGTAATTTATTCCTGAATTTCCCACCGCGTGGGATCAGGTATTTTTGTGTTTGGAACGATAGACTTTGCGGCATTTAAGTGTGCGCTGCTCTGTACGCTGCTCGTCGTATGGTGCTCTTATGTTTTTCATTTTGTCATGAATTAAGCTTGATTCAAAGAAACAAGGTTTAAAAAAATACCGTAAAATTCCGAAAATAAGCCTCTGGGCTTATATTTTTCAAAGGCCCTTTTTGAGGGGTTATTTTTGGAGGGGTTTACATTCGGAGGGGCCTATCTATGGGGAGAAATTTGCACTTCAAAATCGATTGGGCTAGCCTTATAGTTGGAAGAAAATTTACCGTTTTTGCTTTGTTTTACTTTGTGTTTGAGGGCAGTTTCCTAGTACAAGCTCCCGGGGGGCTTATATTTGGAGAGGCGATTTAACGGAGGGTTTTTTGCCTTACGAGTTTGAGGGGCTTATTTTCGGAATTTTACGGTATTCGTACTTTTCTAATGCTCTTGGATTTTCAATGAGATGCGACCACTAAGAATGTATGTTTCCTGAGAGGTCCGTCGTGGTGATAGACGGAAACGGAAAACGAAAGCGTAAGTTAAATTTTTGAGTTTAGAGGTGAGAAGTTATTGAAAGGCGCAGTAAACTTGAATTAAAAGAGCTTATCGCTGGGATGACGTTTTACAGCAGAAGATTTTAAGCAAAAAAATTAGACTACGAACAAACTTAATCTTAGAAAAAAATTGATCATAAAAACACTGAAACTGGGTAAGCTTTAGGGGAGAGTGAATTAATTTTTTTCAGATCCAAAATTGCAGCCCTTACAGATGAACGCATCAAGGTGATGAATGAAATAATCTCTGGAATGAGAGTCATCAAGATGTACACCTGGGAAAAACCTTTTGCTAAGCTGGTAGCCAATCTTAGAAGGTTTGCTCCCATTATTTTACCCGAGCTTATTATTAATTCATGAAGACGACACAATAGATAAGAGAAGTGTGACGTCACAAAATTCAAATTTGTAAAATTATGGTATTGGAAGGCATATTCAGAGCAAAAAGGATGAAAGAAGCCCCCTTGCAAAAGAATCAGCCTTTTATTGCAAATTGGCGGGGAGATAAACGCACCTTTAATGCTCTGATGACTCCGCACAAATCCTTCGAAAATTGGCTTGGATCGAAACGTTTACGATCCAGCCCTATTTTAGACGAATTTATATGGAGTCATTGGAGCATAACATTGCTTATATCTCCCCGCCAATTTGCACTGACGGGCTTTTTTTTGGCAAGTGAACATTTTCGTCTTGTTCTTTCTTGATATGCCAACCTATCCCATAATATCACAACTTTAGTTTTTGTGACGTCATCACTTTTCTTCTCTAGTAAGGCAAAGACAAAACATTTTCAACTGCCTGTTTGAATTGTACCCCCTCATTCTAGACACCAACTTCACGTAGCTATAATTAACGAACAGTCCCTAGCATACAAAAGTGTTTGCATGTCATTCACTATCACACACACATTCCAATGTTCTTATGGTGTGCGAAGGACATTTAGGCATATTGTGGTTACATACATATTTCTATGTCTAGAGCCTTTTCAGGAGTATTCAACCAGCTCAACTTGCTCAAATAGCCATCATGTACAATGTAGTTGAACATTCCAAATTAGAAATACAAGCAGCTTTTAACTGTAGTATGGTTTCCTTTCCAGACAGGAGATCAATCAGACAAAGTGGTACGCATTTTTCCGGGCCATCAATGGTGCATTCTATATTTCCGCCCTGGCAGTAATAAGCTTTGTTGTTTTCACCACATATGTGATGACGGAGCACACAATAACCCCTGAGAGGGTATTTGTTGTTCTGGGTCTGTTCCTGTCAGTGAGAGTGTGCTTCACGTTATTCTTCTCTTTGGGCATAATGAACGTAAGGGAAGCATCAGTGACAGAGAAGCGAATACAGGTAAAGTTGTTCGAGATTTAGAGCTGATTGCGCGCGAGGCTGATAACTTGTTGTGTGGAAGTGTACACTGGGATTGTTTTGGGGATGGATTTTGCCTGCGCAACCTCGTAATAGGTCATCATGCAATTGTCTTATAGCCAATGAAAGACGTGATAGCGTCCCTAAACTCCCATAGTTGATTTCGACTCAGTACTGACCATGTCTCACGTGTGACATCAAAATGGATGATATGCCTCCTAAAGTAACATCGCAGAATATTAGCGTCCGAAGCTTCGTAGTAAATGTTGAACACAGTATTAGGGGAGCTCGGATCTTTACGGAAATTTATGCCAGTTGTACATGTGGTCTATTTTAAATAAAGTTAATTGGCGTGGTGAGAGAAATTAGTTTGTTTTGACTTACTAGTTGAAGCTCCATTACCATTTTTCACTTGAAAATTGTTAAAAGGAATTCTCCTCGAGGCGCAGCTGAGTTAACTTGCGCCACAGAAAATATTAACTTCTGGCTAAGACCGTCTTCGAAACAGCACCGAAATCCTTGTTCTGGATCCCCCAGCATGCACCATGATTGGCCTGTTAAAAAGCCATCGTCAATTTGTTAGTCAGGTTGAAGGGAAATTGGAAGCGCATTTCCGGTAATACATTAGGTCCTTTGCGGGCCCAAGTACAAGGATATGGGCGCTCACTCCACTGCGCAGACGTTACTAACCGGGGTTAGATTACGTCTGCGACGCAGGCTAAAGGTGGTGTTGCACGGGACAATTCGCAACGATGGTTTTTAGCGCAACACAGCGTTGCAATGTTGGAAAAATGCTGTAACTATTCGAAACAACGTCGCAACAATGTTGTAACGCTGTTTTGCGCTAAAAATCGTCGTTGCGAATCGTCATCACCTTAATCCGAATTTCCTCCATATAAAAAGCCCTCCTTGTATCAATCTCGTCCAAATAAATGCCTTCAAAATGTTTTTATATACATATTTTATCTTTATTCGGGAAACTCAAAACGAATATCCTGAATCGATGGAAATCAATATCTATGTATACATAGACTGCATATTGATAATCTATTGCTAATTATGTTTTAGAAATTCTTAGAGCTTGAAGATCGAGATCCAAATATGTGTGTCCAAGAAAGTAAAAGTGAAGCTGATGTTCCAGTTGTAGTGCTGAATAATATTACTGCTTACTGGGATAAGGTAACAATTCAGCATAACGTTTTTGAATATAAACCATACTATTATTTTAAGCAAAAGGCATACAGCGTTATGCTAATCAAAAATCAGTCAGCCTATCAACAAGTTTTCTGCTGCTCAGATTACACCACATAAAGAAAGAGTAGATGTTAAGTAGTGGATAGGAGATGTCTTTGTAGGCCCCGTTTTAAAGACCTTTATTCCTGCTGTTATAACATCCCCCTTCTCTTCGCTCATAAGCTCTCTTGTTTAGTTAACCATTGAATGAGCATCTAGCATATTATACCTTTAACCTATGACGAACAATTACTGGCAGGTGCATGAAACATTTAAGCATTTTCTTGTAACTGAGTACATTTTTGTCATCTGTTTCAGTCGTTAAACCCCACCTTGAAGGACATCACCTTTGAAGCCAAATCGGTACGTATTTCTGTTGAATCTAAAAAAATGTTGTAGTTACGTAACGTTTTCGTCAAGTATGAGTGACCGTCGTCAAAACTGATGGTTGTTTTCCGTTGTAAATTTTATTGGAAATATTATGGGTTTGCCCATATTTCCCTGGTTCTCGTGGTTTCCCTTTGACCTTTTGTTCCCCTAGTCATGGAAGCTGAGCGTATGTTTGGTCATAGCGATGGCTGAGAGATGAACAATGACTAAAGAATGAAAAGTTAGGTTAGAGTTCATTGCTCCCGTGAAGACATTTACCATCACCTTAAATGACCGCAATAAGACAATGTTGTTTTTCTTTGAAAGGTTACTTATCGGTTGGTTGCTAGTGAAGGTTGGTCGTCCTATCCGTCACGGAATAAAAACAGTAGCAGGTCATAGGTTTCATCGCCAAACAGTGAAAAATCTTGAAAATCTGTGAAACCTAAGCTGGCTTATTCTAAGAGCGAGGCTGCACTCGTGTTTTTTTTCCTCATTGTCTTTTGCCATTTGGGTTTTCAAATGGTCCTGGGACTTTTTAGAGACTTAAAGAAAGCACAGTTATGGGCCCTGTTAGGTGAGGGAAATCAGTTAGTACCATCTTTTTGATACCCCGCAGAAGAATTTTTTTTGAAGAATTGTTTCTTGCAGACGCTTGAAAGCGTTTGCAATAAGGTCAAAAAGATATCTAGTTAACAACAACAACAACAACTTTATTACACATTAACGCCTGCGTCGCAAGTGGAGGTTGGGTGCCCATGGGCCAGGGGGCTGCAACCGCAATACACCCCAAGGCGGAAGAACACCCACAGGTCTACCAACCCGCAACCCAGCCACGAGCCCCCCCGCGCCCAGCCCCCCACTATAGCACCCGTCACACTGAGGCCAGAAGCCCAGTGGAAGTAAAATGAACCAACCCCTGAAAAAATAAATAACTAAATAAATAAGAAAGAAAGCGGAGGGAGGGAGGGGAACCAAGAGAAACGCTACGCTACTGGAACGCCACGCCACGCCACGCTAACAAAGCTTCGAGTACAACGCAAACACAACGTAGGCACGTGGCCTCCGCATGCGCCAAAGCGACATACCGCTGGACAGGAATCTGCCCTCCAGCTCACGAACAATGGTAAACACTACAAACGCAAACATAGTCACGCACAACGCTACAGATGACCAACGCGCTACCAAAGAATGCCAAAAACACCCGGGACCATAGCTCCTGGTCGTTAACTACATTAATATAATTTAATAGTATTTAAACAGTTTACAAATCGTAAATTAAAGTGAACTAAAGAGGAAAAAGGAAATTTTTCACGCAACCGGCAGTTAGCTTAAACTAATTGAGGCGTGAGGTGAAGAGGACAAGAAAGAAAATATTAAAAAAAAGAAGTAATAATTATAATTTTACTAAGAGAACGAAAACTAGATACCCTACACTGCGTAATTATTTGCTAAAAATAGTTAAATCTATTAAATACGTTACATCTATTTTGAAGAGCTTGGACGTTGTATTTGAACGAAAGTATCGACTTCAGCATAGTCGTCCCTATCCAAAAATGCATGGAATAAAAATCCACGAATTTTTCTTTTTCAAACGAATTTAAAAGTATCCCTCCATTTGGAAGGAATTAGGTTCCATACTTTTGCTCCAGGTATTGAGAATGAGCGCTTTCATCTTTGCCTCTTTCTGATATTAATTGCCTTTAGTAGCATGCTTTGTATTGTATTTGTGAATTTCATCTGACCAGTTGACCATTGTTTCAGTGATGTGAGTTTACACTGTATTAGAGTCATCCGGTATATACATGTATAGCACGAATTTATACGAACAATGCATGAGTCAATATAATAATAGACTTGTGTATTGATGATTAGTATGTTTTCTTTTTTTGTTAGGGAGAACTCCACATTGTTGTTGGGCCAGTGGGAGCGGGAAAGGTAATGAACGTTTTAGCTGTACTAGTTAATGTGTGTAGAAGCACTGTAGGCTACAAATTGTAAATTGTTTACCCACAGAGCACTTAGGGGTTCTTAAGAACTCGTTGAAACGTGTTCGTGCCTTCCAGATCAAAATGGAATTTGGAAGCGTTTTTCTTTTTAAGGAGAAGGGAAAACCAAAGTACCTAGAGAGAAACCTCTCTGAGCAAGGGAGACAAGCAACAACAAACTCAACTATTTTATTCAAACTCGGGCCACATTGGTGGCTGCGCCACCCTTGCTTTCATTATTAGACGTTTAACGAGGCAAAATGTTGACTTTAAACGTTTATACCAAGTTTTCAAGCTCACTATATATGGCGCTCTTGTAATAGCTTTCATTGAACAAGAACTCTAGGAAGAAGAGTGCTAGTGCATTACGTTGGTAAAGATTCGGTGACGATTCGAACAAGCCACTTTCTGGCTGAACTTTGATGGTTTTAGACAAAATGATTTGGCCACAAAATTACAAAACACTTTAATACTAGACAAGTTTATCTTTGATCTTCAGACCTCATTGTTGATGACCATGCTCGGTGAACTGGCAATTTCTGATGGTCAGAGGCAGGTTCGTGGTAAAGTGGGCTATTCGTCCCAGCAACCTTGGATTTTTTCAGGAACAGTCAAAGAGAATATTGTGTTTGGTCAAGAATTTAACAAAGTTCGGTATCAGCAAGTCATCAACGCCTGTGCTCTTAAAAAGGTTTGTCTCCTCCTTAAAAATTACAAAGCTCGTCACTTGCACATCTTCCAAAATGCACCTTGTTTGCTCCCCAAAATTTTGCTCAAGTGTTGTTTTCAGTTCCTTTTGAGATGGCTGTAATACCGAGGAGAAATGGAAAACAAAGGTTATACAAAATTTTTGGGGTCAAACAAGGTGTATTATGGGAGATGTGCAAATGGCGACTTATTAATGTTCACCAGGGCGAGAATGAAGCTGGCTCCTCTTTGCGATATTCATTTTCTTCTACTGTTGCCACTCATTCTATTTTTTTGTTTTACTGTGTTCTGTCTAACTTAACACTTTAAGTAGTTCAGAGTCGGTTTGTTTAATGCTGGGTTAAGGTAACCCAAGGTTAGAGCCAAATTTTAATTCAAATGTGAAATAGTTTTTTTTGTCAACAATTTGATGACTCGGTGCTCTCAAAAGAGTGGATAAACTTATTTAAGAAAAAAAAATACACTTTTGAACGAATAAGGCCCGCGTTAAAATCTAACCCCGTAGTAGCGCCAATCGACTTTCCAACAGCTGGGCCCAGAGTTGCCTATACGACCTAAATATATCCTGTCCACTTCCATGACCGCCGTATTGTATTTTGCAATGTTTACATTTCATCGTTGAACTTTTGCTGATTATATTCCTTTTCTCACATTTTCTTGCCGTGGGATTTCACAGACCCTTTTAGACTCCTTCTATAATTAGCGTGTCGTTTTTAAATTTGATAATATTTATTAGATTTAAATGCGGCTAATTGGCTCTACATTGCCACAACCTTAGCCAGCAAGGTTTTGTTCTTCCTATGTATTAGTAAAAGACCTGCATTTAAACGTCTCCTCTAACTTGTGTTACAGGACTTGAAACTTTTTCACAGTGGTGATTCCACTCTGGTAGGAGAAAGAGGTGTGGTGCTAAGTGGTGGACAGAAGGCACGCATTAGTTTAGCAAGGTCCGTATGGCATTGTGTTTTCTTTGTATGTAATTACGTCTTACCTGTAAATTATCCGTTCCCAACAACTGTGGCTCTACCTGCTTTGTCTCTTTGTCTATTTGTCTCTTATCTGCGCAATTGCATATGAAGCTGTTTTAGCTGGCTTAGTGACCCTTGACTGTGGGTTGTTGAATTTTGTTTATCTCTAAAGTAAATAGAAATCAATTGTCATTTTGACACAGTCACGCTGCTCAGTCATGTAGGCTTACTGTTACTGGATGGGAAGAGAAATAGAGGTTTGGGGGGACACTCATTGGGTTCGTGAACCGCAACCCCTTATTTTGTGTTGGGTTGCCCGTTTCTCTTTTTTTTAAGGTTCCTGTGGTTACAGTAGCCAGGACGTTTTGACATTCCAAACATTCCGATGGTTACTTAAATGGCGCCCCAGATGTTTTTTGGAGGGGCTTGTGTCCATTGCGCACCCTCAGCCTTTGCAGCCAATTCTCGTGGTTGCGTCGCGTGCGTTTTTCTTTCTTTGCGTAGATGTTTATTCCTTCGTTACGTAGCTTTTTTTTTCAGGAATTTTTCATCGCAAAAACGTTTTCCTTTCGTTGCAGAGCTGCGAACGTAAGTAAGTAAGGCAAAGAAATGCTTTGGGAACCAGTTAGAACTGAAAACGTTTTGGCGAAGACGAAGAGTTTGAAAGGAAGTGACAAGAAATTCCCGAGAATTGAGGCGATACTTACTTTCACTATATGCAAATGAGGACTAAATGAAAATGTAATGACCACGTTATAGGCGTGCGATTTATTTGGACGGATGACTTTAATGGGCCATTATTTTAATCGCTTCTTGGTCTAGTGATCGCGTCCGCAGGCAGCTTGAACATGAATAATAGTAAAATTTTCCTGGATCTGGTTTATTTCGCTTTACAGAGCTGTTTACTACGATGCAGACATATATCTCTTGGATGATCCCTTGAGTGCTGTTGACACCCATGTTGGACGGAAACTCTTTGACAAGTTAGTCGAGGCTTTTTTCAAATCTTTGGAAGAGTCTGGGCGAGTCCTATCCTTTTTGCTCTCATTAGCATTCGAGTTAACCCATAATTTTAAGCCGTGGCTGTATATACACATTGTGTTGAAAAATTGAAACAGTCGTGTGAGCTGCTTGATGTGAGCAGTTGGTTTAATTTTCAGCTCTTTGCAGTTAATAGCAAAACAAATAGAAGCAATCAAAAACTGCAAAATTGCTGGGTGGCAAAAACGTTAATGAGCCCATACATTCTTTGTAAAGTTTTTGGTGTTTCAAAGAGAATTTCTACGAAACTATTCGGTATATCGGGCTCAAATTTTCAGACTGAGATAACTTCAGGGTAGTCAAAAGTAGCCGGCTGCCCGCGAAAATCGCCGCCTACTTTGTTAGTATCGGTCGTCTACTCTGCTTCCTAGACAGGCCGCTGACTTTGACAACTCAGCCGTAACTGAAAACTGAAATAACTGAAATTGTGATGCTCTTTCAATATTCAGAGACTTTGTTTTATTATAGCTTCATCAGATAATAATAAGCATCTGTTAATAAGGCAAAAAATGTGAACAGGAATTCGCCTATAGTCCCTGCTTTTTGAAACCCTCAATTCTTCCAACCAGCAAATCATTCAAACCAGAACGTCAAATCTGTCATTCTACCCCGAAATTCTTTAGCCCAGCTTCTGTGTGGCCAGGACAAAGGTTCAAATATGGGAATTTTATCTGTACATTGTTGTACTTTTGCTTTTTGTATGGTGCAAATGACCAATCTATGTATTGAAGTATGTGATAGCTTCATATGCTTTGCTTAAAGTGATATATGTAAATAGTGCTCGTTTATTACGCTCTGATAATACTATCCTTTTGTTGCAGGTGCATATCAGAATTTCTTGAACATAAAATCTGTATTTTAGTAACTCATCAAGTGCAATACCTTAAGGATGCAACATCGATCTTTTGTCTGCAAGAGGTTAGCATAAATCAGTAAGCTAAAACTAACTATAAGATAACCCCAAAATCGTGTTCTCATTTACGTAGACGGGTGCCGCTTCGGCTGTAATGGGTAACTGTGTGTTTGCCTTTATACGGAACGATTTCCTATGGAGGTTTTTTTTTACTCGTGAATCGTATCGTCGCACGTATGTATTATTTACAAGACTCGAAATCCTGTTGACTGACAAATAACGCATTGAGGTGACAGACTTACCCCCAAGAGGTGCTCGTAGTCAAGGGAATTCTACGCACAGACAACGTAGAAAACGGAAAAAACTAGGGCCTTCGCTGCAGCGACTCCTTTCTCCTTCTTTCTTTGTACGGCATGACGTGTTAGGAAACGAGCGAATTAGATTGTACGCGGAAGAGCTCAGAAGAAAATTGAGCAATAAAAGGAGGGAAAATGATGAAGAAGGGCAAAATTCGTCAAAAAACATACAGCCATATCAATTTTTTGACTTCGTAGCTTGTATTTTCCATCGTCCGCTGGGAAAGTATCCGAGTATAGCATCTGTCAAACCATCATGAAAGGTATATACCTTATTCAGGATACGTCGATACGATTCCGGATTTTTTTGAAATCGCATACTTTTTTTACACAGATCGGCCTTATGTCCACACGAAACCAATCAATCCGGTCACCGAAACCGCATTGTTTTCAAACCGCTCTCCAGAGAAGGTTTAAGGTGCTGTCCACACGAATCCGGATAAAAAATATCGTAAAATTCCGAAAATAAGCTCCTCCTTGTATAAGCCCCTCCAAATATAAGCCCCCCAAACCGGTAACGCAAAAAACCCTCCGTTAAATCGCCCCTCCAAATATAAGCCCCTCTAAAAGGCCCTTTGAAAAATATAAGCCCCAGGGCTTATTTTCGGAATTTTACGGTATGCGGTTTCAAAAATGTCCTGATTCGTTTGGACATGGCCTCAGTGAAGGTTGCTTTTGGCATGGGGAATGGCGCATTGGGAAGCTATTTTTGGTGGTCCCTCAAGCACATCATTGCAATGAGTTCCGTATGCCCAAATGTCCAATGTCCAATGATCATCTGTTTTGATTTAGCTGTATTTAGTTTTTCCTCGTTTTTGTGCTGTTGATGTTTGCTGATATCTATTGTTTTCTTCAGGGTTGTTGTGTTGGAGAAGGTACTATGTCAAATTTGTCAAAATCTGGTCTTGATGTGCAATCACTTGTCTCCATACCTGGTGAGACGGATACGGAGAGTGTCATTGCGGCGGATGATGTTCACGTGGAGGAGAAGATTCAAGACACTAAATCTACGGTAAAACGGGCAACAAAAACGTGCAACTTGTTTTGCAACATTTCTGCAAAACGAGTTGAAAAGTAATGTTGCGCGTTCAACCACCCACGTTCAAATCTGTCTTGCATCAGATCAGGTTGTCGCAAGTTGCATGAATACTGACCTCTGATTGGATAAAATTACGCCGGAGTCACGCCATACATAAGAGCGTCACTTGTTACAAAACAAGTTTGTCTTGGGAAAGTGAAACATGTGCGGATTTTGTTGCAAGAGTACAACGTACAACTTTCTACTTTCTGCAACAACTTTTCGCAACCTGCAACAACCTGATCTACGGTGGGAATCGAACTAACGCTGTTCAGATAAGACATCGTTGCTCTTTACATTTTACTTGCCCAAACCATCACGAGGGCATGAAAAAAGAAAAAAAAACAACAAGCGCGGACACTAATGCGTCTCCCAAGGAGACGGGGGCCGCTATTTCTACGTGGTCATCCGAGCATTGAGCGAAGGTCTAACCGTTTGCAGGGCAAAGGCAGTACTTTCTTCCATTAGTCTGACCCGGGGATTGAACCCGTGACCTCTCGCTCTGACGTCCAGCGCTCTGTGATAGCAAACGTCACAAACAACGAAAATGAATTTTGAGAAACGGTTAGGCTAACAAGTTTTCAAAACCCACCACCGCAATCCGTTTTATCATCTTTAACTTTGTCCGTCCATGTCTTCTTCAGTATATGCTGCGATATTTACATGCGCCTTCTTTTAATGTTTTGAGCGGGTATTTTTTTGTTTCATAGAATTTAGTGGCAGTTCCTTCTGTTTGAATTTTGATAAACTTTGTGACATAGCCCCTTTAAACCTGCGCTAAATATTTGATCTGATAAATATTTCACATAAGCGCGTCCATTGAAAGTTCCTTACTGTACGAATTTTCGTGTAGGAAACAGCCAAGAAGCAAAATGTTACTACAAAAGAAGATCGCTACACAGGGACAGTGACGTGGAGGGTGTACGTTAATTTCTGGTTGACAGGAGGTGGCGCTTTTCTGACGTTGCTGTTGCTGATAGTTTTCCTTGCTTCACAGGTGCGAGTTTAGCAGTCTTTTTATTTTTTCCAGTTTGTAAGATCTAACTACCGTCAGAAGAAAAAAAACGTTATTTTTTGGGTGTATTTTGCTTGAATGTGTGTCTTTTTCGACGGAAGAGATGGAGAAAGATCCTCCGTCTGTTATAGTCCTCTGACTGGTCCCTATAGGGTAGATACCTGATGACGTCACAAAATTTGAGAAATTGTTAGGTTGGGTGGCTTAATAAAAAAAAAAACCAAGATGAAAAAGGCCCAATTGTCATGAATTAACATGCTAGTTCAAATTGGTGGTGAAATATTAGCAACGTTATGCTCAAACGACTCCACGCAAAACCTTCTAAAATTGGCTTTGATCTTACCTTTTTGGATTTTAGAAGGATTTTATAATCCCGCGTTACGTTGCTAATATTTCACCAACAATTTTCTAGCCAGCTGAATTTTGGCATGTGGACAGATTTCATGTTGCTCATTCTGAATGTCTCAGTCAATCCCATTCGTGAGGTCACACTTCTTTATTCTGTGCGCTATTATCTCAGTTCTTGTCGATGTGCAGTGTTTCGCCCCATTTAAGGGAATCCGGGACAATCTTGGATTCTGGATTCCACGCTGTGGATTGCGAATTCCAGGTACTGGATTCCAGTCTTTGTCAGTAGAACTTGGATTCTGAATTCCAATCATTGGTGCGATTCCAGATTCCTTGAACTGTATTCCGGATTCCAAAACCCAGGATTGCGGATTCCAGAAGCAAAAATTTGCCGGATTCCGGATTCCCTCACATGGGGCGAAATGATTGATGTTTTGAGCTTAACCAACCACGAGGACGATGTCAGTGGAAGGAAACTTCCTTCAAAAATAAGCTTGCGTTCTTTCAAACTTTATCGCGTTCATAGTTCTCAGGACTGTCTCCCAGTTCCAAATTGTCTTCTCTGTGTGTTTACGTTCTCCATAAAAACATCGCAGAAGGAAGTTTTACGTCGTAGTCGTGCAGTGGTCGTCAATATCGAAATGTATCAAACAAAATGGCATGCTCCTGCAGCTATTGTTTTGGCTTTTATAACCATTTGTTTTTTCTCGTTCTCGTTGCCATTGTTTTCTTGGTTGCCTAAGTTCCCCGATATCGAGGATACTGCACTTATACTCCTTTTCAAAATTAAAGATATCTCAAGTCAAAAATTGGCAATTGACTCTATTATAACATATTATGAATGAAGCTTACTTTAGCATGACACTGACAGGCTTAAATAATTTGCGTAGAAAGTTGCAGATTAATAGCTTTTTAAAGCTAATTCGCCATTTGTACATCGCGCATAATACCCCTCGGTTTCCCTCCAAACATTTTGCATAAACTTTATTTTTAATTTCTCCTGACCATTCGTCGCGTGTCAACAGAAATTTAGCACAATGCTTGAGCAAAATCTTTGGGGGCAAACAAGGTGTATTATGGCGGATGTGCAAATGGCGAATTATCTGGTTTTGTCGTGTTCTAGCCATTCTTTACACAATCAGCAACATTAATTTCCTTCATATGCAATTTTGGCATTTTAGGCAGTACTTATGGGCTCGGACTGGTGGTTGGCGCAGTGGTAAGTCAGTACTAACCTTGCAATCCGAGAATTCCACCAGTAATAAGAACTTTCCAGTCAGATCTGTTTTTTCCTAAATAGTGTACAAGGTAGTGATGGTTTTAAGTGAAAATTTTGGGGAAAAGTCTTATAGTTGATTTTCAAAATCACCGACCCGAATGACTAGCTCTGACTGCTAGTAAGCACTGTTAGAGAAATTCCTCGTATTTGTGTGGTTTTTGGATTGTTGTTTGTTTGTTATCACTAAAGGAACAACCTAGAGTCTCTGTTCAACACCAGCAAAAAAATCAATAAATGTAGCCCCGGCAGGAAAATTGGCTCCTAGCTCGAAGCTATGCTTGGGACTTATGGTGAATTTCCAAATTGTTGTGCTTATGGCACCTGTCGATTATGACGTTTTAAAGTCTTTCAACTCCAAAAGCGTTGCTAATGAGCAATTCAAGAAAAATTCCAACTTACGTTTTTTGAAATGATCGCACTTTAACGGGGCTCAAACTTAATTTGGGATTGTTGTTGATCATGTTGACCGGGCAAAGTAATTTTAGCTCGATCACGTCTCTCTTCTGACCGGTCAAAATGTTAAACATAACACGATAATAACTTGAACGAACAAGCCTAACAAGAAAAAACATAAAGTGAAAAAAGATTCTTGTCATTGGGTAAAAATGTTGTTATTTTCTGGTCACATATTTACGTGTCGGGTCAAAATCAGTAGCAAACCGACAATTTGTCCGGTCAAATGGTCATCTTGGCGGGACATTGTCCTTTGACCGGCCTTTATTTTGAGCTCTGCTTTGATATGTTTCTTATGAACCTCAAAGGTTATCGAAATTGACTATGTGAGTGAGTTTACATGTATTCAAAGTTGCTTTACTACGCGTTCTTTTGCAGGGCAGATACAGAAGAAAGGCAGGCTTCTCTTTTAAGTAACTCAACTGATAGTAAACACTCCACTGAGACGAGGCAACGCAATATTGGAGTTTACTGTGCGCTTGTCTTTGGGTCTTTTCTGTTAGCGTTTGCAGGTTCCGGAACGTTTTTGTATGTCGCTGTATCCGCGTCACAGAAATTGCACAACCAGATGTTTGAGAAACTCCTTGGAGCAACAATATACTTCTTTGATACTAATCCCGTTGGTAAGTATTTGTAAATGGCCTTGGGTATGACCCTTTGTTGGGTGTTCCGTGGCGTATCCAAATCTACAAGTCTAAAACTTAGAGCATTCTGTGTTATTTGCACAGAAACCCTTAGGCGTACTTTGGTCATCTTCCGTAATTGGGAGACTGTGCGGAGATTGTGACCGTAATAGCGGCGTACGGAAGAAGTTTCCTTAAAACACGTTAGCAGTGTTACGTTTGTGCTCATGTGCTGAGTATGCAAATTTTCAATAAGCTGGCGTATAGTATGTGCAGTTCAGATATTCCAGCAATCAGGCTTTACGAAGAATCTGCCAAAACAGCGCTTAGAAGAATTTTATGTTTTCATTTGAATTATCCTACACTAGAACCACAGACTCAAAAGTCAAACCTTCATGATGTGCCCCATGATGAACATAATTATAGAAAAGAAGAGGCTCCACTCGTGAATTTCAGTTGTCAAATTCATGTTTCCTATCAGTTCAATAGATTCTACGCACAATTCGAAAGTTAGAACCACATTACTGTTTGAATAGTTCTTATTGGGCATAACATTTGCAGTATCTTAACTTCGTTAGGTAGAGTTTTGAACCGGTTCTCTAAAGATATTGGTCAGATGGACGACTTGCTACCTTACGCATTTTACGATTATACTCGGGTAGGTGGTTTGATTTCGCATTTTTCTTTTCGGTCGTGTTTAAAGTGACAATGGTTCAGTTTCGAATAGAAACAATAGACACAGTTGTATACAGGTTTTCTTCGGACTGGAATTTACCTGAGGTTGAGGCTAAGCCTGTGTAAATGAGTCTTCAGTGCTTCTGTTAAGCGGCCACGACGAATTTCAAACTGGACGTTTTTGGAAAAACCCTTTCAGTGAAAGGCCTTTTTTTCTTCACAAAATTGGTGACTGTTCTTTTGTTTAGTGTCCGCATTGTTTAGAAATTGTCATGTTATTCACAAACTGTTTCTTTTTTTAATTGCAGTTGATGGTGTCGTCTTTTGCAATTCTGTTGCTAAATGTGGCAACCATGCCATATCTCCTGGCCGCAGCTATTCCCATAGTAGCCTTCTTTCTTTTCATACGAAATTATTACTTGAAGTCGGCGAGAGAGATCAAACGCTTGGAAGCAATGAGTAAGTGTCGATACGCAGGGTTCGTACAGTCTTAAATTCCTAAAAAAACGTCTTGACTGCAACAAGAAGCTATGAGAGCGTATCCTTAGGCGGACAACAAGGGCTTATATTTCGGGGAGATAACGAGAGAGCGCGCGAGCGAGGGACAGGAAATGCGAAATCTCCCTGTCTTCCCCACCCTCCTCGTTCTCACGTCTCCAGAAAGGCGGATAGCGCCCTTTCTTATTAATTGTTTTGAGGAAAACTGAGAAGATGAGGATGACAGAGCATGAAATCGTGGTACACAAATGTAGAGGTACTCCTTGTTTACTCAGAATGAAATGGAATCACATCTGGCATGAAGGAAAAGAACTGTAATGCTGCCTTTGGGGAGCAAAAAAGTTGCAGTGAAACAAAAGAAATGTAATGGCTTTTGAGGCGGAGAAAGATTGAAATTGAGATCTACCGCGAATGTTTCTGTTGAGTTTTGATAGAACAAAGTGACTTTTGCCCACATCGACATGCACTATACGCGCGTCAAATATCAACGAACTGAAAAGATGATGAGATTTTTTCGCAAAACAGGAGTAACCATTTCCAAATGTACTATTCGCGCCAGCGATTGCTCTTCTGTGGTTGGTTTTAAAAGTAGTAATCCGCTACTGGGGATTTTCAATCCAAACCCTTGGAATTCTACGACAAGAGACGAGTTTTTGCTGATCTGCTTTCTATTCTTTATCATTTTTCAGACCGCAACCCGTTCTACTCGCATTTGTCTGCCAGTATCCAAGGCCTCACCACTATCCGAGCGTACACGGAAGAAGAAAGATTTCGGCACCAATTTCACGTGTACCATGATGATCACACAGCTTCATGGTTTCTTTTCATGACAGCTTCAAGGTGGCTTGGCTCCAGGCTTGATTTCATCTGTTCTGTCTTTGTTACTTTTGCAGCATTCACGCCTTTGCTTATGGCAGAAGGAGGAATAAGTACGTCTGTTTTATGACGCGGACAATTGACCCCAGTTTGCCATCCCCCTATTCATTTTTAGATCAGAGATGACGTGAATGATTGATGTCCCCTCTCAACTTCTTGTCATGCGTGATCTGGAACTACTTAAAGGATGAGACGTAGGATCTTTGTATAAATCACCATTAAGGAACGACTGACTTGACTGCGATTTGAATTTCGGGTATTGTTAATGATCTCGTCATTTCCACGTTTACAAGACTGCTATTGGTCGAGACCTTGCCTTCGCCCTGAATAAAATTCAGACTTTCTCATAGCAATAACCATGTAGGTTTCGTGGGGAATTTACGTCACGGTGTTCTTAAAAACCAGTAATTGTAAAGCTACCACTGCTGCGAAGTGCTTTATCTTTTGCAAGAATTATTGAAAAGTTTAAGAAATATTTCGAACACGGGAAGGCGTGTTAACTAATTTCCCATCACCGAGACGAGGGTAAATGGACTCAGACGTTTTGCTTCGGCCAAAATCCTCTGTTTTAATCGTTAAAATAAAAAATCTTTAGCCCCGGCTACATCTCGTTTGCTTGCCAGTGTCTCGCATGTTGTTTTTTCGCGTATTTTCAGTCTAGAACTACTAGGAACGAAAATATAACCATCTTTTTTCCTATTTACTAAAGGGATGTCTGCTGGGCTTGTTGGCCTGTCCCTGACCTACGCCAAGGTATTAACCGGATCATTTCAGTGGTGCATACGACAAAGTGCAGAAGTTGAGAACCTGGTATGTGGCATTAAGTGTTTATGATAATTTAACACTGCAAAGATCTTATTCAAATCATTTACTCGGTAATAAAATTGTTCCTTTTTGTGTCAGCTTTGACATGGACAAGTGACATAAACCCAGCACAAAAAGTCGGTCTCATTCAGAGTCACCGCCCAAGATATCTACTTATTTTGTTTCGATTGATAAACTGGCAAGATTCTTTTGTCAACTTGAAAACACCAGGTGCAACAGTGTTGTTAGACTCTAAAAAACATGGACAGCTAAACTGTCAAGTGGCTTTTATCTTTCCAATAGCTTCATTCATTATTTTTCCCGAGAAAATCGGGGCGCAAAACTCAGCCTTGTGTCATCATATATTTATTTGTTTTCTTGTCGGTTAAGTTATAGAAAAAAAACAAAGGCTCTGTCTTTCTTTACGTGAAATATAAGTTTCTTTCAGTTTCGTCCCGAAGCCATTGACAGATGACATCACATTTGAAATCGCCGAGGACGAATGGTGACGAGGCTGAGTTTATCTATAAATTTTTTTGTTACTTTTGACAGTCGCCAGTGACTTAGTTATTGTGTTTATCGTGTAGATGACATCAGTAGAGCGTGTTATGGAATACACTAAACTGGAACAGGAATCCCAACGTAAAGACAAGTCTGTTGCTGTGCCAGATAGTTGGCCCAAGTACGGAATAATAACATCAGAGGGCCTTTACTATTCACATCATCACACTTTGCCTTATGTGTTGAAGAAACTGAATTTCTGCATCAGGGCCAAAGAAAAGGTAATAAGACCTTAATGTTACCGTTCTGTACTGGAATGAAATATACTCCGTCGTAAAGCGGTGCAGTGTAATTGGCGTATCTCACTGGAGGATAAGTTCCAGTGGACCCGAAGTAAAGGAGCAGCACTATCGAAATACTTATAATGCAGCTGCCCCCAAAACCTTTTGCACAAGTGTTATTTTCAGTTTCTCTTGTGCAGACTGTAATACCCAGGAGAAAATGAAAACAATTCGAAATTAGCGGGGTGGGGGGGAGGGGGGATTGGGTTGGGTGTAGCAAACAACGTGAATGAATGAAGAGTCTTGGATGAGAGGACAACAGACGTACCCTCTTACCATACATATTAACATGTGAACAGTACGTTCGGACGTCAGCATACAAAGGCGCCAGTGGCAGCTGCCTTCAGTTCATTTATGAGCTTGCTGTACCCACCCAACCCATGATATGAATGGTGTGATGTGTGAAGGCTGACCACAACACCGTGGCCTACGTCATGCAAAGAAACTGGTGAATACTCTCTGAAGGGGCCCTTTTTTAGTTGTAGGTTAAATACAGGTCCAGTGCTTTTATGAAAATTAATTGCTACTGGATGGATCTCTGTTTTTAACAGTTGAAATGAATTCAAAATTATTCGATATGATAAGCTCTCTCTTTGAGTTCAAATAATTAAGAATAAAACAACGAAAAAGAATTTTACAATCGGAGTGTCGTAAGAACCCAGTAGATAACGTAACTTGCCACAAGTTTCCCACTGACTTAGTAGTTACAGTGCTTGACCCACACTTTGGTGGACAGGTCAAGGTTCTTCTCAAGCGCTTCCTCGCTGTTATTTGTTTGTTTTTGCTCTTGCCTCAACTATCGCCTCTTGGTCGTTAAGGGACTGCTTGTTATGCAGGCTGGTGGCAATGACTTAAACACATTTGTTGTTTCCGCCACAAAAATTCAAGTCCCCTTTTCACTGTTATTCCAGGTTGGTGTTGTCGGTAGAACTGGAGCTGGAAAGTCGTCACTAATGGCCGCCTTATTCAGACTGGCAGAACCAGAAGGCAACATTCGAATAGACGCTGTGCCGATTACAGACATTTCTCTGAGTGACTTGAGAAGTAACCTTTCCATCATTCCTCAGGTATAATGTTGGACATTGGTGGCAACTACGCATCTTTTGCCTGTGATCGTAACCTTTGGTTTGAACTATGAAGACGTCAATAAATCGTATTTAAATGTAACAAAAATTAGTATCTAAGTACCAGTTATATTATTTAATGTCCACTGAAGTAAAATTCTTTCACTGAGTGCTGTTATCCTGGGATCTAGTGTTTTATTAAACTGTTATTCTTTGGGACACGGGCATATGTTGTCTTCTTAAGCCTGTTACACACTAGCTAGGGAATCATTTTAGGGGACTGGGAGCGAGAAGAACAAGAACAGCAAGAACGAATCCCCTCGGTTGACACCCTTTTTATGACAAAAATGTAATTTCTTTAGAAGGTTATCCAATGAGGCACTTGTTATACTCGCGGGGGAATAAACTGTCTGGTTCAAGAAGCTTTCACCTCCAAATGCAAATGACACTGAACCAAGTTGAATTGTGAAGGGGGCTAGGAAAGTATCGTCTGGCCATATAATGAGACGCCTGCGCAGAAGGTTTAGCTGATGTCTTTTTTTATCCTTTTTAGGACCCAGTTCTCTTCAGTGGAAGTGTTAGAAAAAATTTAGATCCTTTCAATCAGTATGGGGACTCGGAGTTGTGGAACGCCTTGGAAGAGGTTCGTTAGTAGGAATGATAACACATTGTTGTGTAATTTTACAAATAATACCCTATGCTGTACACCTTTGTTTGATTTTGTTATTAAGGTTTGAATAAAGATCTCTATTCGTAGTGAAAAGAAACAGTGCCGTTAGAAACGAAAATATATACAGAAGAAAAGTAGGAGTGGTTATTTTGCAAGAAAGTCTACTTTACCATTTTAGAAACTAATCCCTTCCCTTTGTTTTTTTTTTTTCTTGGGGTGGGGGTGGGGGGCGACACCTTTAATTCAAGCTATTGTATTTCTCACGTTATGTTCTATCTCGTCTAATCTTCAGGTACAACTCAAGGAAACTGTATCAGAGTTGCCGGATGGCCTGGAAACTAAACTTACTGAGGGAGGCTCAAATTTCAGCGTGGGTCAGCGGCAACTCGTGTGCCTAGCACGCGCTATCCTGAAACACAACAAAATATTAGTCATTGACGAAGCAACGGCAAACGTCGATCTTAGGTAATAATATATAGCACGACTACTTGGTAATACTCTGTTTTTAACACATAGTAAACAATTGTTGTCGGTTGGCAGCGTGAAGATCTGTAGATTTGATAACTCTGTCATGTCATTTCATCTTTATTTCAGTACGGATGCATTAATTCAGGAGACAATACGAAGCAAGTTTCAGCGTTGTACTGTCCTGACTATTGCCCATCGTCTGAATACGATCATGGACTCAGACAGAGTAATGGTAAAAATTACATCTTCGCTTTTTCATTTATATACTGTGACTGTTCTTTCTTAACCATTCCACCTTCACTTCACTCCACCCTAGTAGTTTATCATTTTAGTGAACTTTACTCGATTGTATTCCACCCAACTTTTTCATGTTCTAGGTTACCTGTACTTCTTCCTTCTTTCTACTCGTTGTGTCTTTAATCCACAGTCTCTACCGTCCTATTAGACTGCCACATCAATCCCTACTGTACCCTACCCAACCTTATTCTTTTCTACCCCTTTCCCCCCCACCCCACCATACCCTCTAACGTGTACCCCACATTAACTCCCTACTGTGTCCAATACACTATAGTATTCCTTATCCTACTCTACCAGAGCTCCACCCGTTTCGTATTTCACCCTACCCTCCCGATACTACCCTGCCTTACCTTACGACAACTAATAAGATCCCCCCATACACACACACGTACTTTACCATCCCCTTCCCTCCCCTCCCTACCCTCCCTACCCTCCCTACCCTTTTCCTACTCCACTTGACGCAATGTTTGCGTCATAATTTTTACCGTTTTTATTTAGTTAATTGAATATCACCTTGGAAACATACTTTTCCTTAAATTTACAGGTGCTGGATGAGGGAAAGCTTGTGGAATTTGACGAACCTTACCTCTTACTCCGAAATGAAGAGAGCATATTTTCCCAAATGGTAGAACACACCAGCAGACAATTGGCATCAAATCTTTACGATGTGGCACGGGAGGCTTACTTCGCCAGACACGAAATCACGGATGACTCTGAGGTGGACGTGATACCAAGATACATGAATGGCGACGTAACACCCTTGCAAGAACAGAGACCGAACGACGACGACTCGGACGATTTTCCCTCACCAAGATTTAGGCGAAGCTCGTCCATAGAGAAGGAAAGGCTGTTATTTGAATCCACCGTTTAATCACTCTCCGTGCCAGAGTAAAGTGTGGTAACGTAGTCAAACTACCTGAGCTGATGTTTGATTTGGTCGACAAAACCTCGTCAGCAGCAGTCTTCGGGGGAAGTCTTTGTGTTTCAGTATTTTGTAAGGTGAAATTTATGACTGAACTTTGTTTTTAAAGTTCTTTGGCTAGAGAAAGTGCGTAAATGCCGTGATGCCCTAGCATATCGTGCTCCTTTTCAAAAGACAATAGGGAGTTTACGTAACGACGACGGCGACGGCTACGGAAACGTCACTTGAAAAGTGAATTTGCGCTGCCTCAAACTTTATCGCGCTTATTCCGTCTAGTTTAATTCGTCAAATTTGGAGTTGAATTCTAAAGGACTGCGTCAAAGTTCAGGAAAAGAAAAAGAAAGTTGTTGTCTTTGTTCCCGTCCTCGACAAAAAGTGAAATTAGGCAGTTTCACGTTGTAGTCGTGCAACGACGGCAGAGAAATGTACAAAAAAGCGTGATGCACGTGCAAAGTTTGTTTTGTTTTGTTTGTTAGTGCTAGGTCAGCAGAACCAACGATCTCTGGTTTGCGGCTTACCTACTCAAGGCGGTATAAACTGATATCTTAGTTTTCTTGTCCACATTGAAATGTTATTCACAAACATTACTTATGTGGTCTTATATTTAAATTTGGGAATCCAACCTGCACGGTTTTCATTGATAGGTAAGCTTGTTATTTATTTACTGCATAGCATTCCATTGCAAGGCGCAATCCTTAAAACATGAAAGCATGAAAATACTGCGGCCATTTTTTTAACTAATTGAAGAGAAATATGATTTTGTATCAAACTGACAGAACTATATTTAATAAATAAACGCATTAACAGAATTAGATAAAATTGGAAATTTGAGTTTTTCATTGTTATGAGGGGTTCCTTTAGAGACCCCAAGAATATCATTGTAGTACTCAGGTACAACTGTCAGAGCTCAACCCTTTGACGCTGATGGAACTCTGAAAAAAGAAAATGAAGACCGTGGGAGAACATAATGATCGTCATGACCTTTTTATGCTCTCAATGGTTAATAACAGAATTTAATGGTATCATCAGTTTTCTGGTGTAATACCAATGCTTAGCAAAACTCACACTCCACACTACTGTAGTAGCCTGACGAGTACTTGTCCTAATCACGTAGCCGTCGACAAGAGATCCGGGTACGAGTTTATACTTGAGGAAACCATCGACGCATCGAACAGAGCGGCGCTTCCAATCTCAAAACAGTCGCCCTTTTTACTGCTAAGGGGCTCGTCATTCGACAAGAGCGGGCTGTCCCAACTAATCTGGCAAACGTAGTAGAAAACTGGGTAGGTCCCGTGGCTTAGGTTACGTTCAGGGCCTTAATTTTCTTGCACGTGGACTTTTTCCGAAATTAAGATCATTGGAGATGTTGAGGAATTATTTGGGTGTCAATTAAGTAAAGAGTATATTCATAAGCGAAATACCAGCTTCCTTTTAAATCCGAAATATTCTTGGCTATCTTATTTTGCTCCGACCACGGACGGAGGATAAACTACACCCCTCAAGAGAGAGGTACCGTCTAGAAATTTAAAGTCAGACGCTTTCAGCGCCAGTTCTTTCTCAGAATAAATCAAAGGAATGTGTTTTTGTCTTTCTTAATTGATTCAGCCAATACATAAAACCAGATTTTTGTGAATCACTCACCCCGAGCAGGAACAAAGTGTTTCAATCATTTACCCTTCAAAGGGTTATTGAAACAGAAGGTAATGAACACAGTAATTAAGTCGTGGACAGTGTTACATTTTGGCGACAAACTTTATTGTTCACTGTATTATATTTTAAGAGGGAGTCTTGCCTATCTAATTCCGTAGCAAATGTGAATGTAATTTACCCCTTGAAAGCGTTTTCTTAACTACATGTAGGTCACCAAAAGGCTGACTTACACTGTGGAGATTTCAGCAGCAATTTGTAGCTGTCAATACAATTATCCGTGGCTTTGAAGTGGACAAGTCTGCTCAATACATCCACAGCTAATGGCTCCACAAAGTATTGGAAATGACGTATGCAATCTGATTCTAAATAAAGTGTTATTAGCTCTCATAGCAGGCCTCTTGTTAAGATTTCGGTTCATCTTCTGAAAATAGTCTTGCAGTTGTGTCGTACACACTGTAAGCATATACCTATATTGATGATAAATCACCATACAGATGAAGTCCAAAATTGCTTTTACAGCCGATGTAAGTTTTCTGAAAAACAATAAGGATTTATTCTTCAACCAAAATGAATACAACAAAAAGTATACAACAAAAGTGTATTACAATAGAAAAGTGTGCAACGAAACACGTTTTCCAGCAAAAATGTATGCAAAAAACGTTTACAAAAAAAAAGTATACATATAGGAAATTTTTACATCAACAAAGGATACATCACTAAAATGTATATAATAAAAACGTACTTAGCAAAAATTTATTCAACAAACACGTACACAAAAAAAAAAGCATACAAAATGAACTATGCAACAAAACAAATTTACGACAACAATGCATATCGCATAAAATTAGACAAAACTTTATCCAACAAAACGTGTGTAACAAACACCTATACAAGAAACAATTATCCAACAAAAACCTCGTACTGACGACGAAAATGTTGACCAAAAAAGTAGAAAATGGTTTACAACAAATTGTATCAAAAAATATATATATATATATATTAAAAAACTACATACAGCAAAAATGTATACAACATAAACCTAATTTATACATTATTATAAACGTTTGTAACAAAAACGTTGACAACAAAAATGTATGCAAAGTACACAAACGAAGATATATCGAACAAAAACGTATACATCTTTGTAGTACACATTGCCAGAAATTAGGGACAAGATGGCGGTTGCGCGTGCGCACTAAGGCCACAATGGCTGCGAAATCGTATAAGAAAATGTATGGAGATAAGGAAACTTTTTCAAATATATCGATTATGAGCCTACGGGTCTTCGGTGCACGACTCGAAACATGTTAAGTGCTGTGTAACCTTCGCATCTGGGTTAAAAATAGCTTATTAGAAGTAGGTTTACTTACTTCCTGACGTGGCCGCTTTTATCCCTCGTTGTACGCTCCATTTCTCCATACATTGTCTTAAAATTTTGCCGAAGTCATGCGAAATACTCGTCGATTAGAGGATAAACCCTTCACTGAAGTAAATTTGCACGACTCGATATCACTTCTGCGATGGAAGATGTTTCCAAAACAGTCGTTAAAAGGACGATTTTTGTACTGGAAAATACTTCCAAAGGCGCATTATTTCCCTCAGTTTTCCATCTGTAGTCCAGTAATGGACGCCATAATTGCGAATGACACATTTCGATCGGACAAAGCTTCACTACACCAAACCTCACCGAATCGCCATTTTGTTTGTTGCTACAACTCCAGAGATGCTTCACGGGATATAAACTAGGTTCCAGGCATTCAAAAATCCTCGATTAGCCTACCAGGCTTGGTTTTACAACATAATGGTCACGAAAATGTCACGAAAATGTCACGAAAGGTACATCCGCGTACTGTTTTGTTGCTATCAGCCGCTCGGCCGAGTATAAACCTAACATTTTCTTGCAAGTTGTTTTATTCCAGCTTTTTTCTTCGTAAAACAGATCCATAGAGCTCAAATTATTTAAAAAATCGCAGGGGATACGCTTTCCCTGAGTACGATCGTTTTTGTCCGCCATTTTGGAAACGAGATTCCGCTGACAATTAATCACGGGCGCGAAATGTCCACGATTTCTGGCAATCAACAAGTAGGTTTAAATGTTTACAACAGAAAATTATACTTCAACATTGTGCAGAGCAAAAATTTGCGTCTACCATGATAAACACAGAAAAGTAATGTATACAATAAAAAAGCATATATCGAAGCGTATTTAACGAAACGGATACATGCATACAGACAACCAGTCCAGTTTTTTAAAAAAGTATTCATTCAAACAGCATTCAACACAAACGTTTACATTAAAACATGTTCTGCAGACATAACAACTAGCTTTAAAACTCTCAAAAAATTGTGGAGACCATGTTGACATATTTCTAGAATGTTATTGTGGCAATACTTAGTTATCAAGTTGTTTTAGTGGTTTCTTAGCCTAACTTGCTCACATCTTTCCGAGTTTGACACTTACGAGGTATTGGAAGCCACCTGTCCGCGGGTACCCAGTAGCCGTAACTAAACTGTCTATATCCCGGTCGATCTCCTTTTTTAATGCCAATCTGTGATAAAACAGACATGGTAGTGAGTAACTTAAGTAGTTTATTTCAAAAACGTATTAATAATTCATAAAGAAAAAACAAGAGAAATTAATATTTAATGAGTGTCTTTATATCTGGTGAGTGTCTTTATATCTGGTAAAGACACGGCTTAACTTTACGTCCAATTCGTTAAAGACCAAAATATCCGCAAATCAAAATATTTGTGCAAAAATGAGTTGATCTACAACAGATTTTGAGGCCGTTCAAAAACTCGCAGTCGTGTGTTATCAGGTGTAAAAACTCTTGGCTTCGCCTAGAATTTTAAACCTGATAATACACCCCTGGCCCCGGTTGTTCAAAAGTTGTATAGCGCTATCCACCGGATAAATCACTATCCAGAGGATAAGTATTATTATTATACATCAGACTCACTATGAAAAATCTGATTGGTCGAGAGCATTCAATCAATTCACATTAGCTTGTGAACTTGACATGATAAATGCAATATCTGCTGCAGATATTGCATTTATCATGTCAAGTTCAACGTCTGTCTGGCTACCAAGCCCCTTGGAGTGTTCTCCTCAGAAACAGAATGGCTGAATGTCTTCTTTTGCCTATTGTTTAAAAAATGTATAATAAAACAATTATTGAATTCGGTTTTCGCATGATATCATGAATTATCAAAACCTCGTGTCTGTATTATCTGCCTCAGCCTTCGGCTTCGGCAGATAACACAGACACGAGGTTTTGATAATTCATGATATCATGCGAAAACCGAATCCAATAATTGTTTACGATAACCAATTGCGCTATCCAGTGGATAGCGCTATCCACTTTTCGAACAACTGGGGTCTGCTCGTTTTTAAAAGTCCTTGATTAATCGGTATAAGTAGAGCGAGGGAGACCGTTCTATGGAAAGACATACGTTTTTTTTCCTCTAGGCATACCATAATAGTCTTTAATATCCATCTGATGTACCTTTCCGTTCTTTTCAATTAACAGAAGAACACATAACCTAGGTGGAACAGGAGGTCATTATTACGACTTTAGTAGCCACTTCAGTAGCAGCAATAATGACCTGCTGGTTCTAAAACAAAAGGAGCATTTCATCGGATAATGTCCTCGCTTCTCGGCCTTCGGTTGTCAGGTCAATAATAGTAAGAAAATGAATGTAAGGACACTTTCCCCATTTGATACATTTTGCTTAGTAACTCACTGACTCAAGACGCCAACCATCTGCCCAGCCAGAGGTATCTCGGTAAATTTCTACACCTTTCACGCGTCCTACGTCTCTACCCTCGACAGTGAAATCGTCCACACTACAATAAAAAGTAAAAAGTTGAAATATAAGTTATCTTTCCAATATCCCCACATTTTGCATAAGTTAGTATTGTCAAACTGATGCTCTTGGTAATATGGAGCATTTAAAAGCAATAGATTATGCATCTTTTGAAGGGAGGGGGTGCAAAAAAGTGTATTATAATGA